TCGCGGGGTGGGTCGCGGGTGTCGCGGGTGGGTCGCCGGAGGGGGTTCGGGGTGGGTCGCGGGCGGGTCGTTGGGTGGGTCGCGGGTGGGTCGCGGGTGGGTCGCGGGTGGGTCGCGGGGTGGGTCGCGGGTCAGGTCGCGGGCCAGGTCGCGGGCGGGTCGCGGGTGGGTCGCGGGGTGGGTCGCGGGTGGGTCGCGGGGAGGGGCGCGGGTGGGACGACGACAACAACAAACAACAGTAAACAACAACAACAACAACAACAACAACAACAACAACAACAACAACAACAACAACAACAACAACAACAACAACAACAACAAATACTAGCACGTGGGGACACTCCGTTCTCACCAGTGCCAGGGTTTTCATAGGAGGCGGGCAATACCCCCACTTTGTGGGGGGGCCGGTTCAAGCTCTACCAAATTTCCAAACGACTCTTCGCCACCACCCACACCCAGCTTCCCGCCCTATGACGTTCGGACACTTCACTTCGTGGCATGCGGACGACCGTGGCTACTATTCAGGGCCCCGCGGCCGACGACGACGGCGTGCGCGCGCGAAGAAAAAACGAATGTGTCCCGCATGGTATTATTTGACAGGGATGATGGCCCTGGCAGGTGCGCAACCGTTGTTGCAGAAGTTCGAAAAAGTTGCTCGCAAAAGCCCGTTTGACAGAAATGATTAAAAAGTGTTGGGTTTCCTACGAATCCGCAAGAGCGCGCGGGATGAAATTTTGACAATTTTTTGTTGAAAAACCATTGGTTTTTTGATGTTTTTATGTTTAAATCGCTACGAAAACTAAGGTTTTGGAAGGATTTCGTCTTGCGCGCGCGAATGTCCACTTTACCTTATTTTTGCAAGGGATTCTTGAAGTTTGGTTATGTTAGAACAAGAAATGTCCACTTTAGCTTATTTTTTGCAAGGGAAAACCGATCGTAACAACACAACCGGGTCCGGACTCCCCCGTTTTGCCTGAGACTTCCTCACGAAAATGATGAAAATGAGGCTGCGGCCTAGGCGCGGCGGGGGGGTCGTGCACCAGGGGCCCCAACAATAATTATTCTTTAGAAGTAATAATGTTCAACAACAACAACAACAACAACAACACCAACACCAACAACAACAACAACAACAGCAGCAGCAACAACAACAATCCGCATCGCGGAATTCCACTTCAGCCACGCACCCAGGGACAGTGCATGACCGTTTGGTTCAGCCCCTTTCATTAGGATACATCCATAGTTGATATATGTATATATATACATATATATATATATATATATATATGTATATACATATCGTCAAACACCTAGATGTAGAAGAATGGCACTGCCGTGCCGTATCATTCGTATATGATTATGGCAGAACGGATGTTGTTGGCTGTGCTCTCGAAGCGAACAGGATCTGACATTGGCCGAAGCAATGAGATGGGGATAGTGGGAAGCCGTAGCGATGAGGAGCGAGAAGACGAACGACGACGACGAGGACGAGGAGTAGGATGGATAATGTCGATTGAACGAGATTCAGCAGAGAAGTGGGAAGGAACAGGGACACCTAGGAGGGGAGGGCAAAGAGGAGGAACAGGAGGCGGAGGACGAGGACGAGGAGGACGCGTCAAATCGAAGCTGGAGGTGGTGGTGCGGGCGAGGAGAAGAAAAGATGAGCACCGAGGAGGGCGGATGAGGAGGATCCAAGAGGAGTGGGGAACTAGAATGGTCGACCGCGGGCGAGCGCAAAGGGCGATCGCGATCGCGATGGTGGTATTGGGGATGGCGAAGAGGAACATGAGGGTGACCACTGCGGGGGACAGCCGAGGAGGCTGACGAACATGGGGAGTACAACGCGGGACCCCTGAGGGCGGAATTGGGAGGAGTACGGGGGAGGAGTACGGGGGAGGAGGAGGAGGAAGAGGAGGAGGAGGAGGAGGAGGAGGAGGAGGAGAAATGTGAGGATGAATCAGAGGCGTGATAGGGGAATCTTAATTTCGATGAGGGTGCATAAGGATCATGACGTGGAGGCATGGGGAGGAGTGATCTGAACGATGAGCGCGGACGAAATCGAATACGAGGGCGCGCGGCGAGGAGGCAAGAGGAGCGAGGAGAATTGAGTAGGAGGGGGCGTCAGGGGGATAACGTGGAAGGAGGGGGGTCAGAACGGGGATGAAGTAGAGTAACGATTGAAGAGAATGGCTCCTCTGCTTCGTCCTCCCCGTCACCGTGATCGTTCGGTTCGCCCGCCGTCCTCCCTATCCCATCGGTTCCTCATGGTATCCTTTTCCTCCTCTTCATCGTTGTCGTCCTGACTGACATGTGCATTGTCCTCCCTGTTCGTGGTCATTGAGCGGCCTCGGCATGGCTGTGGTACGTCGCCGTATCTATTCGTTTTTTTGATAGACATGTTTTCCAGCGGTGCTCGCCATGTTGAGCCGTATCTAAACATATAAACATATGCACTCGTCTCAAAAATATTCCCGTACTAGAAATTAGTGCTGGAAAATACGGCATCGTATCTAAACGCATCTATGGTTGAAGGATGTCTATCCGCATCTAATTCTCTCAAGAAAAACGCTGGGAAACACATATGGCTCAGGGGGGATTTTTAGATAACGCGCGGTCCTTCCGATTGCAGCTGCCGCTGGGGAAATGAGCAAACCACATAGGTTTATTAGATATGTCTTCCAGGGCATGGGGGCCCTTCACGGGCCCCGGGACCGTCAACGAGCGACGCGGACTGAAAAGCCAGTTTCGGGGAAAAGGTCGGGACTTCGGGGTTCCACGTCTCGAGAAAATCAAGGAATCGCAAGGTTTTTTGGGGGGAGGGGGGGTCAGAGGTGGGCGCGTCGAGACAACGATAGTTGGCCTTCGGGGGGCTCTCTCGCCCCCGCGGCTGGACGCGGCTTCGATAGCTTGTGCATTCGGACCCTGGGGAGGGGACCGGGGGCCGAGTTTGAGTTGCCGCTGTCTCAACCCGCACTGCGCCGCCACGGCGCAGACGGACCCTGCGCTCGAAAAGGCATGATCGGCGCAGGCACGGGCTTTCGGAGGTCCGCGGGCCCCCTGGCGGCGCCGCCGGCGCTGCCCAGGGAAGGGGGGCGTGGGCGCCGCGTAATGGGGGGGTCATAAATGGGGGGGTGGCAAGGGTGGTTCGAAAAGGTACCCAAACGGCACCTAAACGAGCCCCCTGGGGCGCTGGAAGGGCCCGAAAGGGGCACGAAAGGGGACCTTTTCTGACCCCCCCCATTTGTGACCCCCCCACTAAAGCATGCCCAAGGGGCCCAGCCCCGATCCAACAAGTCGGCGCGGTCCTCGAACAGTTTACGCATATGCTCTTTGAAAGATGTTCCCCCTGCCAGGAGCAATGGGTTCCTGGGGTCTCTCGCCGTGTTTGACCTCCCTGCAGGGCCCCCTTCTGGGCCCCCCGGAGTGTTTGGAAACGGCTCCGGACGAAAAGCTGGTCCTGGGGCCGGGGCAAGGCCCCAGAGTCCAGGACTGGCGTCCATCAGGACCAATTGGTTTCATGCTGAAAGAGGGCTGCGCCGCGGGCGAGGCCAGCGACGACGAGGAAGGTGGCGGCGGCGTCGACTGCGGACGCGGCGGCGACGACGATCGCCAGGCGGCGACGACGGCGACGACGGCGACGACGGCGGTGGCAACGGCAACGGCTGCGACGACGTCGGAGACGACGACGACGGCGAGGATGACGAGGACGACGAAGGTGGGGCACGAGGGCGGCGGAAGCGACGGCGGCGGCGACGGCGACAACGCCGCCGTGGGGCGGGGATGGGGCCCAGGCCCCTTCGCGTTGGGAGAAAAACGCGACGGGAGGTTTTCGGGGGCCCTTACCGGGCCCTGGGAGCGTCAAGCAACGATTCAGGACTGGGCCTTGGGAAGGGGCCCAGACCTCCAGAGGTCGACGTTGCGAAGAAAGCACTGCGTCGGGGGTCTGGGGGGGAGAGGGGAGAGGATGAGGCGCTGGAGATATTGGCAGAGAGTAGAGGGGCAAAGTCCCCGATGGGAAGGGGCAGGCGGGATTGGGACCGGGGACCGATGGGGGGGTTCATCTTCAGCTTCTCGTCTTCTGCCTCCTTGTCCCTCCTCCTTTTCGCCCTCCTCCAATCAGCTCCCCCTGGCTTCCGATATCTTCCTTGCCCCTGTCCCCCTCCCCCCCCTTCCCCCTCCCCTTCCTGCACTTCGTAGTCTCGCCCTACTTCCTGCCCAGAGGCAGCGTGGTAAGTAGCCTTGGAAGTAACCGCCAAGCATCCATGTCAGCGACGCAAGAGAATGGTGTCGTCGTCACCGGCATTGGCTCGTAAGCATCCCAAATAAGGTCTTGCGTAAGCACCGTTGTTCCCGTTGTGGCTTGCAGCACTGGCGGCCCGCGTAAGCCACCGGTTAAGGTTGCTATGCCATATCGCGTGAGACTCGTTGTTGTTCGTCGTTCATGCTGGCATGCTGGACCCAGACGTGCAGAACTCCAGAACTGCCGTGCAAACCGCAGCCTTCGGGGGGCATCCTAGGTGGAGGAAGCAGAGGAGGAGGAGGAGGAGGAGGAGGAGGAGGAAGAGGAGGAGGAGGAGGAGGAAGAGGAAGAGGAGGAGGGGGAAGGGGAGGGGGAGGGGGAGAAGGAGGACGAGGAGGACGAGGAGGAGGAGGAGGAGGAGGACGACGACGACGAGGAGGAGGAGGAGAAGGACTCTGCCCGCCCCTCGCGCGGCGCTGCCTTGAGCACGCTCGCGCCCCCCTCCTCCG